GCCACCAGCGAACGCTGAGCTAGTCAGTTTCACCTTGTAAATTTCCCGGGCACTGGACTGTCTGTTTTGGCAGGTCCGGGGCTGATCTGCTTCCCAGAGGATCTGTGGCTTGGCTGGCTATTCACCCCCACCCCGAAACTTGGGAGACCCACCCATTTCCCACCCCATTCCTCCCTCCCCGGGAAGGTGTTGCGTTCCCCCTTCTCGCTTCCCCTCTTTGCCGCCACCGCGGCGAGTGGAGGGTGTGCGCGCTCCTGGGGGGAGCTGGGAGCCAGCGGCTGCTTGCTGGCGCTTCGTATTTTCCTTGGCAACCCGCTCCCCAGCCCCAACCTGGGCGGCTGCAGCGCTGGAGGCACGAAGAGAGAGGAGACTTGGTTTGGGTTTGAAAAAAGGGGAAGTGGTCTTTGATGGTCTAGTCTGGCTTGACAGGCGCTGCGAGGCCCAGGTGTTTGGAAACCTGGAGAGAGGGGAACCGGCAGCTGATAAAGGGCCCTTGTTCTTACCTTCAGCCCTGTCCCCACCCCACCCCCCAATACAGGCAGGGAGGGGATCCTAGCCTCCCAGTGCTGCCTGTAACTTTTTGGTAGTCCCAGCACCTCTCCCTCCAACTTCCCCAGACCTGGTGCCGGGGAGTGGGGAGGGTGAGCCGGCTGTCACCCAACTCCGACCCAAGCCAGGCTGACTCACCCAGCCCTGCGAAGAGGAAGAGCAAAAACAGGGAATTCGTTTGAAACTTAAACTGTTGAGAGCCAGGCGGGGGGCGAAAAGGCCAGGGAAGCCAGCTGAGCTGACAGGGGGCCACATACCTAGGAGATTAAGTAAATATGTAGAAAACCAAACCTGCATGTAATTCCAGGTTGCTTTTGTTTTGTTAAATGCTGCCCTGAGATTTACAATTCCTCGGGGGTGGCTGGGGCTGGGACTGAACTTTGGAGCCTGAACTATCAGCCAAAGCTGATCACCATTTAACTCTTCCCTCGCCAGCCGGCGGGAGCGTCCTGGCCCGGCGAGCTGGGGTCTGCTGTCCGGGGCTCCCACTTCTCCTTGGGTGGTTTGGACAGCTGCTTGACCTTGCAGTTGGAAGGGGCGTTCAGCAGTGTTTTTAACCCTTGGACACACAGAAAAAGGAGAAGTCAGACTTGTTCTCGGCAGTTTCATTTCCTTGGGGTGATGCCCCGAGAAAGGGCTCCCCAAGCCCTTTTCGGAGGGGGTCAGGAGGGCAGAGGAGGGTGTCGTTGCCGGGGGACGTGGCGTTGAGCACAGTCGCGTGTGATTGCCATTCCTTAGCTGTCTGCGTCCTACAGAAACTTTCTTCTGACTCTCCCAGCTGGCCCCAGTCCTGGGTCTCTCACTGCTCCTGTAACTGGCTGCAGTAGGCACATGAAGAACTCCTTTAGTCAATCTGGAAAAACTTGACTGACTATAAACAAGCCTAAATTGAAAGAGTTCTATGGCATTGCGGGGGGGGATGGGGGGGAGTGTAGAGTGGGCCCTGCAAGATCACCCTCTGGGAACCGCGCCCCACCTCAACTCGGGTTGGACCATCTCTTCCAGCGAATGAACCCAGGACCCATTGGAAATATCTTAAAGTGGCACCAGGTCCCCAGAAACAGGATCCACGGGGCCTCCGGAACGCCCAGTGCCTTCGCCCTAGGTTCAGTCACCAGACCTGTCGGGATGACCAGGAACGCTCCCTGTAACTCATAATTACCCGGCCAATGACTGGAGCGGCTTTTGGATCAGCTGTCCTCTCTGTCACACCATCACGGTGGGAAATTTGGAATCTTGCCTGAGCCCATCTGGGCCCAGTGAGAAGGCCTTGGGACACCCTCCAGACCTAGGAGTGTTTGGGGGCCCAGTGGACTTGGGGACCAAGGGGCAAGTGTGGTGGAGGGGGGAATTTCCAGGCAACTGCCGGGTGGGTGATGTGAACCTTGGGCCTTGGGTAGGTCCTGGAGCTGCTGGAGAGAGCTGGGAGGGCAGCGCCCCCTGCAGCCTGCAGTGAGGTTACACAGGCGGTAGTGTCAAACCATAGATGACTGTCCCTCCTATTCCAGCTGGGATTTGGGGTGGGTTGGACTCTGAGGGGGACAGGCCCCCAGAGAGAAAGAAAGGAGGAAGAGCCGAGTCTGCAAACAGCCGGCAGGTCCAGGAAAGGTCTGTTTACTTTTGGGGGCGAGTGCCTATCCAGTTTCACACAATGACCTTGAGTCAAACAGGATTTGGCAATACTTGTGGACAGTAGTGTGCCTTAGGCCGTAAAGGTGACCCAAATAAGGGCTTTTCTTAAAGGGACACAAAGGCTCCAGGTGTTCGAAAGGTCCCCACCATGTACCGAGGGCGCCACGGCAGGGCCAGGCAAGGTTAGGGTCTCTAAGGAGAAGGGTTTTCCTTTTTATTTTCCGCATCCTCCTAGGGCTCCTCCCGTGAAAGCATTTATAGAGCTCGGGCCCATCCCTCTTCCCCCCAAAGGCTCTCCTGGCCAGCTAGTCAGCTGGCCCAGCCTCCAAAGTCTTTGACCTTGACATGGTTTTTGTAGGAGAACGGGGAGGAGGAGGAGACATGGACTGTTTGTTTGGAAGTATTTGCAGTGGCTGTTCCAGCCTTGCGTCCAGTACGAGGAAGTGGCTGGACCAGAGGCCTGAGCCATGATGGCAGGCTTGCGGAGGCAGGGGCCACACACCAGAGCCTGAGCGCCCCATCGAGAAGGGGTAGAGCCGGGACTCAGGGACCCATTTCAGGGAGGTGGTGTGAGAACTGGCTCGCAGTTGCGCCTGCCTTGCTGCTACGGAATGTACAGCGTGTGCGTCTCTCGCCCTGTTCCTAAAGCAGCTAGCCGTGAACGAGCCTCTGATGGAGATCTGTGAATCCCATTCTCCATCACATCCATTCAGCAAATCCCATGTTCTTCTCCTTCCTGACACCGGGCAGGCCCAGGCCCATCTGCCCCAGGACGGCAGCCTTCGAGAGACCTCAGCAAGCCTGCTGAGTGTCTGCCAGTGTTGGCGCAGCCCTGGGTCCAGGTTAGGGGGTGGATACAATAGAGATGAATAAAGACAGAGAGACTTGGCCAGGTGCTTACAGCGAAGGCGCAGATTACAGCGTGCATTAGTTTCCCGCGGCCGCCATCACAGATTGCCACAAACCTGGTGGCTTACAGCAATAGCAACATATTCTCTCACAGCTCCGGGGGCCAGAAATCTGGGATCAGGTGTTGGCAGAGCCCCACTCCCTCCAGAGACTCGAGGGGACAACCCTTCCTTGCCTCTTCCAGCCCCTGGTGACTCCCCGTGGCTCCTGGGTGGTGTCCTTGGTGTGTGGCAGCCTCTCTCCAGTCTCTGCCCCTGTGTTCACGTGGGTGTCTGCTTTGCCGCTCTGTGTGTCTGGGTCCTCTCATCTTATGAGGACACCCGCATTGGATTTAGGACACGCACTAAATCCAGTGTGACCTCATCTTGAGCTCCTTAACCAGTTACCTTTCCAAAGACCTTTGTGGACGATAAAAGGGGCCACCTACGAACCCTGACAAGCTCAGGGGAGGCCAGCATGGCAGGCCCTGCGAACTCAGACGGAAGGTAACCACAGAGGGGGAACGGAACATGAAAATCCCTCAGGAAAAGTGAGTCATCACGGTAGTCACATCCTGGGCCTGTGGTTTCCTTGACAAAGATCAAGCTTTACCTTAACGGAGCCTGTCCGTTGTCTTTTGCATCTAAGATAACGGGCCTTTGAACTGTCAGAGGCATCTCCCTTTTCAGGCCCCTCAGGGCTCATCTAAGCGCCGGAGCAGAGACCAGAGACCCTTCACTGTTCCCTTGTTCCCTGAACACCATCTCTGTGTGCTGTAAAGATTAACTGCCAGCTATCCCGTACCCAGCGATGTAAGAGAAGTATGTGTTTCTCCATTTTTCTTTTTATCCAACCCCAGGGATTCCCTCTCCCCTTTGCATTCTCCCGCCCCCTTAATCTACCCGCATTGGATTTCACGTCACCCTCCTGCGTCTCCTCCTTTGATTCCAGTGGAAAACGAGCTGCAAAACTGCCATTCTCCAGAGCGTCTTCTCAATTCATTGAGATTTTGCTTTCTGGCTGTTGTCAGTTTGGCTCAAATAGATTCATAAAAACATTCTCTACAGGTTTGGACGTTTCCTATGTCAACACCCTATTTCCAAATAAGGTCATGTTCAGAGTTTCCAGGTAAACATGAATTTTGAGGGGACCCAAGGCAGAGGAGGCCCCGTGGAGCTGTTAAACTAGCTCAGGGAAAGCCTCATGGGTGAAGTGGCATTTGAGTAAGCCTTGAAGGTCAACCAGCCCAGCTGGTGTGGCTCAGTGGTTGAGCGTCGACCTATGACCCAGGAGGTCACGGTTCAATTCCTGGTCAGGGCATATGCTCTGGTTGCGGGCTCGATCCCCAGTGGGGGATGTGCAGGAGGCAGCCCATCAACAACTTTCTCTCATCATTGATGTTTCAGTCTCTCTCTGTCTCCCTCTCCCTTCCTCTCTAAAATCAATAAAATTATATTTTTTTTAAAAAAAAGTCAACCAGAAGGGATGTAAGAAGGGAGATCCAGGTGCAAGAAACCACCTGATCAAAGGCTGGGTTCGCGCTGGAATTGAAGGAGGGAGGGAGAAGGCAAAGAAGGAAACTATTGCAGAGCTTGAGAGGTGAGCAGGGACTTCGTACCTCACACTCAGTGTTGGGCCGGTACTGATGAGAACAGGAAACAGGAGAGAGGAGAGGAGTTCAGACCGGTCATCTTATGGGACGACGCAGAGTCATCAGGGCAGAATTGCTGCACTAAACAATCGGCATGTGATGAAGGTCACAAAGGCATGGGGAGCTTGGGAGATAGCAGTGCCGTCTCCCCGATCCTCACCCCAAATGCAGCCTTTGGTGGGAGTTTCTGGGAGAAGTACCAGGCTCCCATTGGTAGGCAGGTAGGCAACCGTCCTACCTGCAACATGGAGGAAAAGCCTTTTCGCTCTTAGCATCCGGTCCTGAGGTTTCAGACAATGGGCCTCACAATTCGGCCTGTCCCATGAATAGACAAACACCTCCCTCTGTCCGCCCCACCTCCTTCCCCTGGGGAACAACAGCGGCCACCTCTAGGGTCTCACCCGCTGCTGCCTGGCTCACCTGGGCTGGGAGGCCAGACGCCAGAGGGTTCTAGACTGGGCTTTGCTGAGACCCCGCTTCCGCTGCAGCTAAGAAACACACCTGTGAACTGAGAGGGGACACAGTGACCACTAAGATCCTGGCCCACTCTAAAATTATCATATGTGGATCGGCCATCCCAGGAAAGGAACCGATTGCCAAGCTCCCTGCGTTGCCAGGAGACTCCTGCACAAAGAGCTTGTCCTGTGGCTGCTCATCCAGCCTTTCTTGGTAGCCATGAGATCCCACTTAATGAAAAAGCAACTCAGTTAGAAAACACACCCTTGGTGGATAGGACTGCCCCACCCCCACCCTCAGCACAGCCACCAGGTAGCCATCTGCCATGGATTCATTTCTTCTCTTGTAGGAGATGTTACTATTTCCAACCTGTAGCTTTCAAGGTAATGAGTGGCCTACGTTTTCCGACTAGCATGTCAAGCACAACTTCCTGTTTATTGTCCTAAAATCACCAAATTGTCTATTTGGGCTTCAAAGAATGCTCCCTAGGTCCAGTAGCACCGAACCTGAATCAAGAGGTCCTGCTCCGGCCGGGCCGGCGTGGCTCAGTGGTTGAGGGCACGATCCCCGCTTTGGTCAACCTAACCCACTCCAGGCGCTTCTGAGCTTTCAGCTTTTCTAAGCCCAGGGCTTCTTGGACCCCTGCACAGAGCTCTCCCAACCTCCTTAGCATGCTGGGCACTTCCGCTGGTTCATTTCCATCTTATTGTTTGAGGTATCACTGAGAAAACCGTCTCAACCATATTCAGGAGAAGTTAGCTCTTAGCTATCCTTTTGTTTTATTTTTTATAATGTACTAGAGGCCCAATGCATGAAGATTTATGCAAGAATAGGCCTTCCTTCCCCTGGCTGCCAGCACTGGCTTCCCTCCGGAACCTGGGTCGTCGCTCTGGCTGCCGCCTTCCACCTTCGCTCTGGCCCTGCCACCCTCCTGTAGCTCCCTCCACCCCCTGCTGCCCCCTCATAGCAGGCGACCCACCCTGCCCTGGCCGCTCTGTGCCTGCACGCCCGCGCTGCCCAGAGGCCTGGAGCGGCCAGGATGGGGCTGAACACAAGCGTCCTGGCCCAGCCATCGCCATCTTTGTCGCATCAATTTGCATATTCCCTCCTTGTTGGCCGTGGGCGCTGTCATCTTTGTCATGGAGTGACAGTTAATTTGCATATTGCATCTTTATTAGATAGGATTTTTATTGATTTCAGAGAGGAAGGGAGAGAGAGAGAGAGAAACGTCAATGATGAGAGAGAACCATTGATCGGCTGCCTTCTGCATGCCCACCCTGGGGATTGAGCCCAGAATCCAGGCATATGCCCTGACTGGGAATCAAACCGTGACCTCCTAACTCATAGGTAAATGCTCAACCACTGAGCCACACGGGCTGGGCTTAGCCATCCTTTTCTATCCTGGAAAGAGGTCTGGCAATCACTGCCACTTGTCCTCGAAGACCTGGTTCCCACCTGCTGCCGCCAAAACCCAGCACCCTCCTGGGCACCTGTGCAGGAAGCGCTCCAGACCCAACACCCTCTCCTTGGTCTCTGGGCAAAAGCAAGAGCACACTTAGCATGTGGTAAGGCGTGCTCCCTGTTGGCGGCAGAAGACACAAGCTGAGACATGTGCCACGACATTCGAAGGGAAATGTGAGACATTATTCAGATGAAGCACGCAGGTCAGGAAGCAGTTGAAGCCAAATGAACAGGAGGAAAGTGAACCTCAAGTGTGCGCTTGTCTCCCGTGGACCGGTGAGGCCCCTAGAATGAGTTATGAAGATGCAGGCATGTCTGGAGTCCGAGAAAGAGTGGACAGGACAGGTGAGGCCACCAATGGTTGACGGCACTCATTCATTCAGCAAACCCGAGCCTGGACTCCTGCCCCCTCCTTCCCACCATGGTCTCATCCGTGGGCCTTGCCTCCTTTGTTTTCTCCTTCCCACTTACTAGTACTGCGCTCTAACCAGTTATTTTATGTGTCTGGTTTGTTACCTGTCTGCCCCTCACTAAACTGTCAGCTCTAGGTGGGGATGTTTGTCTGCACTGCTCACTGCCATATCCCTGTGCCTGAGGACGGAATGTGCCCTGCCCCCTAACCTTTCTCCCGCCACCCCCGCCTCTGCCCTGCCCCCCATCCCTTATCCAGCTCCCCGACCCCCGCCAGGCTCCCTCACACACCACACTCTCACCCCTCATTCTCTGTGCTCCTGCCACACTGGCCTCCTCACAGTTCCCCACATATCCTTGAGCTCCTCGTACTATAGGTGACCATAGTCATCCTACATGTGACTACAGTAGCATATGTGACTGTGGTACTACACGCAGCTGTAGTATTGTCTGTGACCGCAGTACTGAGTGTGAATGGTACTCCATGTGGCTGTAGTGCCATAGTGACTACAGCAGTCACGTGACTGTGGTGCCAGACATGATGGATAGTGTCGGCCGGGGTGCGATATGTGACGGGTCCTCTATGTGACCACAGGACCGCACGTGACTGTGCTACCGTACAGGACCATACAGGGCTTTCGCACGTTCACTGTGTGGCCCATGCCCAGGGCGGGTATGATCACCAGCCCATTTCTAAGATGCAGCTGAAGTGAGTTGTCCAGGATGCTTGGCCTGAGTTAGACTTTGAACCCCAGATTCTGAGCTTCAAACACAGGGCCTTTCCTGCCAGAAGAAATCCCCTCAGCCAGCTGCCTACCCCAGTCGGGGTCATGGAGAGGTCAAGACACAAGCTGTGGCAGAGTGGGGCCTGGCGCAGGCAGGGTTCTGCAGAGAGGGCCGATAAGCAGCGCGGAGTCAACAGGATGTAGTTAAAATTACTTTCACAAAAACAATGTTTTAGCCACTGAGTAGCAGTATTTGCATACAATGGCTGGGATACTTGCCAGGGGATTAAGGTAGTCATTGGTTATCAGGCTCTGCTTCAAACAAGAAACAGATAAGCAGAAAACCAGCAGCAGTACAGGGTAGCACCTCAAATGTGCAAGGAGTCAGCTCTCAGGGAGGAGTGAGCGCTACTCCTTCCAGCTAGACCCGAGGTCACTAAGCTGCAGCCTTTGAAGTGATCCTAGGGCTGCGATAGAAAGGAGAAGGGAGAGACCATTATAAAGTAAGGGAAACCTTGGAAGACTTCTTGAAGGAGGTGGCCACTGAGGGGGTTACCGTGAGTCTTAATCTTGTGCTGGTTATAGAGCCCTTAGAGCAGTGGTTCTCAACCTTCCTAATGCCGCGACCCTTTAGTACAGTTGTGGTGACCCCCCAATTTCATTGTTACAAATTTAACATAATGAAAGCATAGTGATGAATCACAAAAACAATATGTAGTTATATATGTGTTTTCCGATGGTCTTAGGCGACCCCTGTGAAAGGGTCGTTCGACCGCCAAAGGGGTCGCGACCCACAGGTTGAGACCCACTGCCTTAGAGCAGCGGTTCTCAACCTTCTGGCCTTTTAAATACAGTTCCTCATGTTGTGACCCCAACCATAAAATTATTTTCGTTGCTACTGAATATCTGTAATTTTGCTACTGTTATGAATCGGAATGTAGATACCTGATATGCAGGATGGTCTTAGGCAACCCCTGTGAAAGGGTCGTTCGACCGCCAAAGGGGTCGCGACCCACAGGTTGAGAACCGCTGCCTTAGAGGATCTGAAGAATGCCCCAAGAAGAATGCACAAAGATTCACGTTTTTATACTTTTAAGGGACCCCCAGCCCCATCCC